GGCGCGGTCCCTTCCTCACAAGATGAGGCCTGCCAAGGAGCCCTGTTCTCATTCTCACACGGACGCCTGACGCCGGTACCGCCGGCGTACCGCCCGCCAAGCCTCACCTCCAGCTCCGTCGTCTGCCGCACCATCCAGTTCATGAGGCCCGTGAGGTTGAGGGCGGAGGTGAGGGCGAGGCCGGCGAGGCCCGCGTTGCGCGGCGCCGCCACCGCCACCAGCACCGCCGCGCCAAATACCACAGAGATGCCCAGCAGCTCCAGGCGCACAGACAGCCAGCGGTTGATGCACTGCGGGCGGGCAGCGCGGGCAGGCGGGCGGGCAGGTGAAAGGTCACCGGGAGTGAGGGCAGCCGAGTGTTCAAGTCCGCTGGGAAGCTGGACACACCGCGGAGAGGTGCCGCCAGCGCTGGCAGTGCTGTCTCAGGCGCCGGCGCAGTGCCAGCCAGGCGCCGCCCTTGAGCTCGCCCACCTGCGCGGGCCAGTAGGCGCGGTTGCTCTCATCCATCAGCCGCGAGTTGCGCGCCTCAAAGGCCTCCTGCTGGCGGAAGGCGCGCACGGTGGCCAGGCCCTGCAGTACCACATTATGCAAGGGTATCCCGGAGTGGGCATGCCTCACCAAGCCCTCTGTATGGACACCTGCTCCCTTCACAACTGCCCCTGATGATGAGTCCCGGTCGTGATCAACTGGGCAACTTCTTTTGTCTAGCTGGAGGGATGCCATGCACCAGGGCACCAGAGCCAGCGCACCTGCAGCGTCTCCCCAAAGTGCCCAAAGATGGGGGACAGGGCCAGGCTGTCGAGGCGCTTGATCTCGCGGGAGGAGCGAATGTAGCGGGTCTGCAGGCGGTGGTAGGGTAGGGAGCAGGGTAGGGCGGTGGGGTGTGCGTCACGGTGTGGAGCGCCGGGACTACAGAAGAGGTCTGTGCTGCAAGCTTGCTCTTGCTGACATCAGAATGTACGCCCACACAAGGCAGGTAGGACGGCGCTAGCAGCGCTGGCGCCACGCTGCCCAAGCCTGCTGCAGGCTGCCTGGTAGCTGCCTGCGCCTGCACTGCTTGCCTGGATGAAGTAATAAGAGAGGGAGAGGGGGAAGATGGCTGCCAGGATACCGGGCGACACCGCCACCACCACCACCAGCGACCACAGCACGCTGCAGCAGGCGGAACAACAGCGCCCGATGCTTTATTTGGTCCTCGCTGTCGGTGAGAAAGCACAGTGCCTTCTTGTGAGCGCAGGGCATCGCTGCGATGCATTCACATGTGTACACAGCAACAGGGGCAGGCTGCGGGGGCTGCAGGGGCGTGCTTGCCTGACGGAGCAATTCAGGAAGGACTGGACGCTTCCTTGCAGCGCCACATCCACCGCCTCTGTGGGATTGGCGGAGCAGGACAGGAGTTGGATGTGAGGGGCCCAGGGGTTGGCCAAGGAAGGTCCAGCAAGGAAGGTCGGCATGGGGAAGCTGTGCCCGTCCATCTCCCCAGCATCACGCTGGCATCCAGGGAGTGGTAACCTGCCACCATGCCACGCATCATATGCAGCCGCACCGACGACACACCCGTGTCCTTTGTGAAGCGGTTGAGCAGGCGGCCGGTGGGCTGGCTGTCGAAGAAGCCCATGGGCAGGCGCACCACGCAGGACAGCAGCCGCTCCTGGTGGCGGGGCGCAGATGTAAAGCACAACAAGCAATATCAAAGCAGGCTTGGCACAGGCTGAGCAGCAGGGTGCGACTGTGCTACCTGATGCCCAGGCAACCGACCGACAGAACCAGCAGCTCCAGCCGCGTGCCTTGGCACCAGCCCCGCTCCCTCCCTCCGCCCCCGGGCTGCACCTCCTGCGCCTCACCTGCAGCACACGGGCAGCGCTGACGCTGCCCAGCACCAGCATGACTGCCTTGACGATCTGCAGGGGGTGGCAAGGTCTCGACAGGTGAGGATGGGTTGGATGCTGGGAGGCAGGAGGGAGGGCAGGCTGTCATCCACCACAGGGGGTAGCTGCCAATGCCATCAATGATAGGTAGGCAGGCAGGCAGGCAGCCAGGCAGCCAGGCACCTGGAAGGCCAGCGAGGAGAAGCCCAGCCCAAAGTACAGCATCATGTAGAAGGTGGTGTTGAGGCCCTGGGGCGGGTCGGCCGCCGCGGCGGCCGCCGTCGCCTCGCTCCACACCGACAGCCACCAGTTCTGGCCGCTGCACGCGCGGGAGGGGGCAGCAGGCGCAAGGCCCGCAGCATGAGGCCGGCTGTCCAAACGCCCCAGAAGGAGAGGAGCGTGCCGGTTCAGGTGCGCAGCATGCTGTTGCTCCGGGAGTGCCCGGGAGTGCTACTGCCCAGCCTTCCGCGTCCAAGCGTATGCACACTCACGCCTGCAGGCCGCGCTCCGTGATGCCCAGCGTCAGCACCACGATGGGGATCAGGAAGAAGGGGCTCCACGACCTGCGGCATGGCAGGGAACACGGCGCACGGCACATAAATCCTTTAGGATTCTGGTGTGGGCGCGGCAGGGGACGCAGACTTCCGCAGCCACCCAAAAGCCAACCATGGAGCCACAGGCACCCCCCCTGCTAGCCCCTGCCGCCTTGCCTGAAGTATGCGCCGTACACGGCGCGGTCCACCCGCCCCACAGCCCGCTCCTCGGCCTTGGTGAGCTTGCCGCTGGCAGGTGTAGCAGGGCGGCCTGGCGGCTGGGGCGGTGCGATCAGGTCCTTGCGGGTGGGGGCCATGACGGGAACAGGCTTGGGCACGTACTGCAGGCAATACAAAGTGGTAACCATGCAGTTCACAGCGGTACAGCCATGCCCGGCATACAATGCACTGGTAAATGCAGAAGCAGCACCGCACCTTGAACTGGCTGCTGCCATTAGGGGAGTGGACCGCCACCGTCCCGTCTTGCCCTGTCTCTCCTTCCAGCTGGCTGCTGCCCTCTGCTGGGCCTCCTGCAGGCGCGCTGCCTGGCCCTGCGCTGCTGCCAGCATCGGCAGGCGCGTCCAGAAGCGGCACGTCTGTGAACACAGCCCCGCTTTCCACTGCCCCACACAGGCTGGCGCTGGCTTCTGCTGCAGCAGATGCCTCGGCCCCCTGCTCGGCCTGCTGCTCCCGCACTTGCAGCTCGATGGCACTATCCCTCGTGCTGCCCTCACGCAGCACCGCCGGGGCGCTGCTGCCGTTAGCCCGGCGAACCTCGTGCTCCTCTGCAGCCCAACATCCAGCCAAACCCACTTCAGTCTTCTGCGCCTTATGGTCGCTCAACCACAGCTGCTAAGCAGAGTCCTGGAGCAGACTGGCGCATCCCTCTGTGCGCCAGCTGCAGGCACATGGCAAGGCAGCCAGCCAGCCACGCACCTGCGCTGTCTCCCTCGCCGTCCGCCGCGCCCTCGCCTTCGCCCTCGGCGCTGTGCTGGAACTGGTGGAAGTCGACGCCTCGAGCCACCAGCTCCTGGTAGCTGCCCTGCTCCGCCAGGCGGCCGTCCCGCAGTACCAGCACCCGGTCGGCAGCTGGCAGGTACTGCAGCTGGTGGGTGACCAATACCCGCGTGGCCTGCAGTACAATGGTGACGCACCAGTACGCCAATCGCCCCTGGAGCCACTTTCCGCAGGTTCAAGCGGCCGAGGGCAATGCCATGCCCGACCAGTAACGTGCCCTGATGTGCATGCCACGGTGCGAAGCGTGGCCGCATCCCCACCTGGACCAGCAGGCCGCAGATGCAGCGGTCGAAGAGGTGGCGGCCGACATGGGCATCCACAGCAGACAGCGGGTCGTCCAGCAGGTACACATCTGCGGTACGTGAGGCATTCAGGGACAGTCGGAGGAACAATTTGCTGTGGATTCACGGCATGTCAGGACTGGATTTCATCAACTGGCCAACAGGGCATCTAGACGATGGAAGAACCACAGCTGCAGCCCTCCGAAACAGCAGGCATGCAGGAAGCCACTGGCACCCACCCGCGGAGGCGTAGCAGGCTCGAGCCAACGCAACGCGGTGCCTCTGCCCGCCGCTCAGGTTCACGCCCTTCTCCCCAATCTCAGTCTCGTCCCCTGCAGCTCAGCAGCGCACGTCAGCACCACTCCATGAGGCCGGCATATCAGGCTATCAACACAGTGGCAGGCGCAAAGGCGAATACTGCAAGCATTGCCCAGCAGCCACACTGTCCCGCATACCATACGAATCAATCCACGCCCATCACCGCCCCTCCAATCACGCTCTACCAACCGCCCCGCCTCACCCGCCGCGAGCATTTCGAGGTCCGGCCGCAGAGCGCAGGCCTCCAGCACATGGCGGTACCTGCTTTCTTCCAGCGGTGCTCCCATGAGGATATTGTCCCGTACGGTCGCATTCTGTATCCAGGGATCCTGCTGCGTGTACGCCACGGTGCCACGCACCATCACGGTACCACCCACCGCCACCACCATCTCCCCCAGCAGCGCCGCCAGCAGGCTGCTCTTGCCGGAGCCCACTGAGCCCACCACGATGACCAGAGCGCCGTGGGGCACTGCAGGGGGTTAGGCACCAGGGAGGGTGGGAGACAGGGTTCACCCCATGTCGGATGCAGGTCAACTTTCAGTTAATTGGCAAAGCAACCGGATGCCGGGGTGCACATCGTACGGGAACCTCCAGCCCAGGAGCCAGCGTCAGGCCAGACCACAGCCGGCACCGCACCACACAGGACCCTAGCCTAGGTATCTGAGAACCCTAGCCTAGGTATCCGAGAGACAAGGAGATACCCCTCCACAGACAAACCTGCCAGGCTGATGTCGCGCAGCAAAGGCTCGGCGTCGCGCTTCCAGCTGAAGCTGCCCCGCACCACCTCAATGACTGGCTGCCCCGCCAGCCCAGGAGGCTGCGGCGCCGCCTGCTGCATCTCGTCAGCCTGCAGCCACAGTCAGAAGCACACCGCATTTGAAACCTCCCCCTTCCAGACACTGTAATATTTCGTAAACAACTGGCTGCGAGCCAGGCAGCAGGCCGAGGCACTCCCCACCCGCATGAAGGTCTGTATGCGATCCAGCGCCACCTTGCCGTTGATGAGGTTCATGATCTGCGCTGAGCGGGTGGTGGGGGCGGCAGCGAATGGAGGTGGGGGAGGGCAGTATGTGGAGGCACACTGGGACCAGTTTTCCACCCCTCCCACCCACCTGCCCGGCCCACCCATACCCTGCCATCCCACTTGCCTGCTGCGGAAACATCATGACTGGGAAACGCAGCAGGTTGAAGAGAGAGAGTGCCGGGAAGGCGACGGCGGCGGTGAGCGGGTACCCCAGAGCCGAGTACGTCATGAAGGCGGCCAGGGAGATGAGGATGGGCCCGCCGCCAAACACTAGGTTGTTGACTGTGGACAGCAGGTTGGCCTTGCGGATCTCGCGAAGCTCCTGCTCCCTGCACCAGCAGCGGCAGGCACGGCAAGCAGCAGACGCGGCGGTGGCCACGTGCACGGAGACTTGGTGTTTCGAACCAGGCAGGCGGCCCCGGCATGCGCGTCGAACACTGTGCCGGCCTCGGCGATGCGTCATGCAGGAAGAGCAGGCGGGCGGCAGAGCGAGGACGGGCAGCGCAAGCCCTGGCTTGCGGCTGCTGGGCCCACCTCAGCGCGGTGATGCGCTCCACATAGGGCTGCTCCCAGGCGTACAGCTTGATGGCCTTGATTCCTGCGGCAGAGGTGGTGGCCACCAGTGCGCGGGCGATGTGAAGGTTTGTGTGTGTTGGTGTGTGTGTGTTGGTGTGTGGGGTGGGTGGGGCTGGAACCAAGTCTAGAAAGGATGACAGCTGCTCCAATCCAAGCCCCAACACAGCTGCCCTGCCCTGGGCCCCAGCGGCCACCCAAGCCACCCACCCGTGATGATCTCGGTGCAGAGCTTCACCCGGGAGTCGGTGTGTGCCACCAGGCGGCGGCGGATGGCGCCCAGCTGGCGCCCCACCAGCGCCGACAGCGGGATGAGCGCCACGCACACGCCCAGCCCCGCCAGGGCGGGCAGCAGGTGGATGACGCGCACCAGCAGGCCCATCACAACCAGGATCTGCAGGAGGAGGGGGGAGCCGGGGCAGTACTGGGATTAGTTTGGGATTAGTTTGTGTTTGCAAGGTGTGTGGATAGGCAGCACTACATGCTGCGATGGTGAGGGAGATCTCCCCCACCGCCACAGCACCAAAGCGAGGCAGTGAAGCAGGTGGCCTGACGTGCACAGCACGGTGTGACAGGTGGAAGGCCAGCAGATGGGCTCCACAAGGCAGAGGCGAGGTGCATTTGCGCAAATTTGCATGCAGGGGCAGCAGCAGCGGCCTTGCCTGGAACGGTCCCGACCTGCGGCAGCAGCGAGTGGCGAGTGAGTGAGTAGGTAGGCAGCGCACAGTGAGTGCGGCGGACTTGAAGGTCTGCCACAACCCCTAAGCAGCCGACGCAGGCAAGCAAGCTTCGACAGCGGTCGCTGTGCAGGTGCAGGTACAGGCACAGGCGGCTCCCCAGCCCAACGCACCAGATCATGTGCAGGTACTGAGGGATGGCCCACAGCTTGGCTGCACACAGCGGGGCACAGCGCGGCGCAGCTTGACACAGCTTGGAGCGGCAGCGAATATCTACGCATACCGCCCTCTGCCCACCGCATCGACAAGTCCCACGTTGGTGTGCCCCCAACCGCCCCGCCCACCTGCGTCGTTGCTCTGCAGGTTGACAATCTTGCCGGCGCCGAGCTCGCCCTTGGCGGCGGCGCTGATGCGCAGGCTCTTGCGGTACAGCATGTCCACCAGCGCAATCTGCGGTACGGTACGGGGCGGCACACGCATACAGTCGGCCAGCGGCGGGCATCCAAGCATGGCGACGGCGTGCAGGCTCCATATACACGCACACACGCACACGCGGGTCAGGGGCATCCAGACCAAGGAAAGTGGCCCCACCTTGAGGTGCAGGCAGATGCGGAAGAGCTGGTGGAAGTACAGGTTGACTGTGATGGTCTCCACCACGCTCGCCCCCGCCAGCGCAGACGCCAGGCCCAGGCCCACCCAGGCTGTGGCAGGGAGCAGAGGGGCAGCGGAGTGGGTGGCTGATGGGCGGCGCCCGGGGTGTAGCGTGGAGGGGGCGGAAGGGGTGTGGCATCTTGGGGTTTAGGGTTAACATCGGTGCGGGGCAGGCGTGTATGGGTGGGCAGCAAGCGGAAGCGTGCGTCCTCACCTGAGCCGCCCGCCTGCAGGTGCTTGAGCAGGACCTCCAGCAGGAAGGGGCCCAGGAACATCACACAATCGTGAGCCAGCTTCACCACCCCGGCTGCACCCACGAGTCGCCAGGCAGGGCACGAGGTGGCAGTTAGGCAAACAGGGCACGAGGTGGGGACTGGACACTGTCAGGAGGGAATGGGCGCCGCCCTGCTAACGGCGCTGCCCTGCCTGCCCATGCTGCCGAATCCCTCTCACCAATGATGAACTTGCGGCCGTGCGCCCGCCACATGGCTCGCCACACCACCCCCTGCAGAGCAAGCCAGCAACAGCAATGGAGGGCACTGGATGTGCTGCAGCAAACACCGTCCAAAAGCAGGCAGGCAGCCAGCCAGCTACACGTCTCTTATACATGTCCTGCGCAGGCTGGCATGCCAGCCAGCCGTCCAGACCGCCAGGCAAGCAGGCAGGCAGGCAGGCGCGCAAGCAGGCCGGCAGCAGCGCAGCCCAGCAGCAACCCAAATGCGCCGCACCTCGGCCGCGCTGAGGTGCCAGAGGAAGGAGTCGGCGACGGGGTGGGCTGCGTCGCAGGGCGCCACATCCCATAGGTCTTGCTGGTTCAGGGTTTTGCGGTATCCCAGGTGGATGAGGCCGCCCACGTAAGCAAAGGAGAGGCGAGACAGGAGGCCCGCAGCCTCCTCGGGGCACCAGCGGCCTGCGGGCACCAGTGGCAGGGGAGGGAGGACGACGCTCGGTGCAGGCGCCTCTCTGGGCAGCGGGCAGGGCCTGCGCCCCGCATGCCACAGGGCCCAAGGCATGCGCGAGCGCCCAGGCCGCCCTGCGTGCCTGCCGGCGACGCAGGCGCACGGCCGCGCACCTGCCGGCCGGCGCCAGCTGCCGGCTGCTTTGCTGCTGCCGTCGCCTGGCGCTGCGGCGGCGTCGATGTCTGGCCCCTCCTCCTCCTCGACAAGGCGGTGGAAGCGATACTGCTGCTGCCCCCCGGGCCGCATCCACGCCGGAAGGCGGCTCTTCAGCCTGCAACACCAGTAGCAGAGCAAGCAGCCTTGAGGAGGCCGGAGGAGCTGCTCCTGGTCATATGCATCACACCTCAGCGGCTGGCGCAAAGAGAGAGCCAGCCAAATCCCGAGGCGGGATGCAGCGGCGGCGGCGGGCTAGCCCGGGCCCAGAGCGGCGGCTCACCGGGCCCACCAGCTGTGCTGCAGCTGGCGCTGCTCCGCCTCCAGCAGCACAGTGATGTCCTCAAACTCCTCAGACTCATCTATCTCCAGGGCCACCGCCCCGCGGCCACGCGCCGGCTCCGGCATTGAGCTTGGCTCGGTTATGCGCGCCGCCACTACCGCTGCCGCCGCCACCTACCACCCGGCCACCACCGTCGCCAGGGCCCAACGGCGGCCAAGGGGCGTCCAGCAGGTGTGCAGCAACCGAGGAGCGGGGGAGGCAGGCTGTGTGAGGCAGGGCTTGGAGGGGAGGGAGAGAGGCTGCCTCCCAGGTGCTGTAAACTCTTCGGCAGTCAAACAGGGATCGATACAACGGCAAAGTGATGAAATAGATGACCAAAGAGGCGGTGCTGGAATTGTCGTGCCACCTGTACCTGGCCCCTGCCCCGTTGTTGTCGCTATCCTTCGTGCGGGCAGCAATTCTGACTCCCATCGCTGGCACGCAGCTTTTATCACGCAGGGAGTCTCTCCATCGGGCCTGATTGCTGGTTTGCTTTGGCAAGAGGAGCGCAGGCAGAGCGGGAGAGCACAGGAGATGTCGGATCATCATCAGCAAGATGACGACGCCCCCATGGAGGAGGCCCACGCTGCCAACGGCGGGGACATGGTGAGGGGCGCATGCTTGCAAACTCGTGCTGGCCATCTCTGTGCATCGCAGAATGCCAATTGGCAGACTGAATTCATTGCAATCGACGTTGCAGAGCCGCTCCCGCTCCCCCGGCGGCGGCGGCAGCGGTGGCGGCGAGGCGGGACGACGCAGCCCGAGCAGGGAGCGCCGCAGGAGCAGGAGCAGAAGCAAGAGCAAAAGCAGGAGCCCGCGACGCCGTAGCAGGAGCAGGAGCCGGCAGCGCCGCCCCAGCCCCAGGCGCAGCAGAAGCCCCGTCAGGCGCAGGGCAGCCAGCAGGAGCCCCGTCAGGCGCAGGGCAGCTAGCAGGAGCCGCTCCCGCGATGCGCCCAGGCAAGCACTGGCGCTGCTGCCGGATGCCTGTGGCAGGCGCAGGCTGGTGCTGTGTGCAAACGTTGCCTGGTCTGATTGCTGCACCTGCCGCCATGCTGCTGCAGGCGGCGCAGCCCCTCTCGGGATCGCTACCGCCGCTCACGCAGCCGCTCGCGCGACCGCTACAGCCGGCGCGACTCGCCACCACGCAGGCACGCTTGTCTGCTCCCGCCCTGCTCCGCCCATAATGCTGCCATTTCATGTTCTGATGCTGCGTAGCACACAATATTGCACGGCACAGCACAGCTTTCCGTGCCGGCATGCCGGCTGGCCCGTGGGGGACTCCTTTCGTCCACATTCCCAGCATTTCCGCGCCGCCCTCCAAACACACGGCCCGCCTGCCCCGTGTCCGCACCCTGCAGGCGGTCGCCCCCGGCACGCGGCACGCAGCTTTTCATCGCGGGCATACCATTCATGATGACCGAGCGGGATGTGGTGGACAAGTTCGATCGGTATGGCCCCGTCCGGGAAGTGCGCATCGTGCGCCACCCGGCCACCGGGGAGTCGCGCGGTGAGCGGCGCCGCGGGAGCATGCCCGCGCTGCAGGCTGCTGTGGCGATATCAATGCCACCACTATGGCGACAGCGTTCTGGGAGTGCGGCTGCCAGGGCATGTAGTTGGCATGCATGAGGTCATATTAGGTGGCATCAACAGCCAGCAAGCCTGGCATGCGCATGTGCGCAATGCATCCTCTTGGATCACCATGCTGACGGGCCACCCTCCCTCCCATGCGCCCATGGCCATGCAGGCTTTGGATTTGTGGCCATGGAGTCCGTGGAGGCTGCGGATCGCGCGGTGCGCAAGCTAGATGGCACCGATTGGAATGGGCGCCGGCTGCTGGTAGAGGTGGCCAAGAACCCACGATGAGCAGCTGTCAGGGGGCGGTCTGTCGTGGATGCATTGCGCATGCATTTTCCGTGCCCATTGCTCTTACCGCACCACCATGGTCCACAACCTGCACTACTGGACATGTCTGCCCGCTCACACATGTGTACACTGTGTACACTGAACGCACGATGTGCTGTCAGCTGGCCTGTGCTGCTTGTTGCTCTACTGCTTCTCTCCTGTCACATGCGTTGTTCGGACCACAATGTCTATGCTGAAGCTTGTTCTTGCTGAAAACAGACTGTAAGCCCACACATGTGTACAAGCATGCAAGTCCACGTGGCATTCGTTAGTTCCCACCGTCCGCGGATGTGCCAGGCTGCTGCATGCGCATACTTTACTGTGTTGTCTGTCTGTCTGTCTGTCTGTACAGAGTCGAGACATGTCTCTTGCTTATGTGGGCTTACAGTCTGGTTTTCAGCAAGAACAAGCTTGCAGCACAGACTTTGTCGTTCGGACAGAGCAATGTGAAAGGCTTGCTTTGCTTTTTGTGTTTACGGACGAAGCAGTGGAGCAATTTTAGATGAAGCAGTGAAGCGGATGCTCTGTGGAGGCTCTTCCCCACCTTTACCTTTACCTTTACCTTTACACCCAAATGGCGCATCAGGAGCATGGGATTATCGAATGCCACATTCGAATGCAGCGGGGCCAGCCGTGGTGCTGCAGCTGGGAAAGGGGTGAAGGCACCATGGCCATAAACAAACGTCTAGCTTTAGACCATTATTTGATCTGCCCGACGCGCCAAGTGCAGTACCCCCCACTAGATTCATTCAGCACACAGACCGGCCGCCTCTTGCTCGAGGGCGGCCCACTTTGGCCTGGGCAGCCCGGGCCGCCCTCCCCCCGGGCGCATGTTCAGTGTTGGAGGGGTGTGCCCAGCGATAGGGGGCCCCTGAAGGCATGCGCCGAGGCCGGGAAGCGTGGTTCGGCGCTGCTGCACGCTTGGCGACTTGAACAGAACCGCGTGCCGCCGAGCTGCGGCTGCAGTTTCCGGCCCACAGTCTACGGCCGCAGCCACGGGACTCGGCGGCACGGCGTTTGGGCCCAAGCTTGCTGCTGCCGCCGCCGTGCCTGGGGGGCAGCGCGGCGGCGGCGGCGGCACGCTGCGACGCCCCCGTGCCGCCGAGCTGCGGCCGTACCTTCCTGCCAGAAGCCCACGGCCACAGCCACGGGACTCGGCGGCACGGCGTTTCGGTCCACGGCTTGCTGCCGCCGCCGTCGCAGGGGTGCTGCCTGCGGCGGCGGCGGCACGGCGGTTGGGTCCACGGCTTGCTGCCGCTGCCGCCGCCGCAGGGGTGCTGCCTGCGGCGGCGGCGGTAGCGCACGTGGCAACCCCCGCGCTTCCTTGCCTCCCATCCACCGGACCCCGTCCTGCGCTTCACTTTGTTTCGGGAGGGGCTGCTCACTGCTCATTGCTCATTGCTCATCGCACACTTGCTCAACGCTCATTGCCCTATATCCCACGGTA